GAATTGTACGCATGCGCTATGTTCATGTGCGAATATGAATTGCCTTGGTACAAATAAAAGTATAATGTTAGTGCCAAAAGCTATCAAACATCAGTCTCTACAACTATGGAGCTTAGCCACAAATGTTCACTGACGTAATCCAAACTTCTTGTCAATAAGCAGGCCCGTAGCCAGGGGGTTTTGGGGATCTGGCAAACCCCTCTTCTTCAGAGAACGCCCTTTGTCCAACAAACCCCATACCCAAATAGCTAATAGAACTCCCCCCCCCCCACCAAAAAAAATTCCTCAATACCAAATGGGTGTTTTTTTTTACTTCCTTATTAAAACCCTATTCCCGGCAAAATTTCACTAAAAACTGACTTTTTTTAGAAAATATGCATTTGCATTACTCAAATTATTATAAATCATGGAAACATATTGGCATGAATTTTAGTTTTACGCAAAAGAATTAAATAATTAAATACAGACTATTTCTCATAAAATATTACCATTTTCTCGACGAATTCATCGTTAAGAAAGTATAATACATACTCCAAGTATTGAAATACACGCCATCGTGTTGGGATTCAATGTTTCGACATGAATTATGTCATCATCAGAGTTCCTGATGATGACATAATTAATGTCGAAATATTGAATCCCAACACGATGGCGTGTATTTCAATACTTGGAGTATGTATTATACTTTCTTATCTGAGATTAATCAGTGGACCTTTCAATTCATCGTTACTAGGCAAATTCAGAGGTTGTAGATCGCATCCACTGGAATACTCTCGCTTTTATGTATACTTTATACAGTCAATAAAGTGCGCCCTCTCAATGAGATTAGTTTTTGTACTTCGCATCTCGCACAATGCGGTCGTTCGATTAGGCTGAGATATGTTTGTTTAAGTGTCAAAATCTTAGTCAGAATCAGTTTTTTAACAAATTTGAAATAATTCCTATGAAATATTATATTTCACAATTGTCAATATTAGCAACGGAAAATATCATATCGGCCGTTTTTATGTGTGATAACAGAACTAAATCGAGGTAAGGCTAGGCCTAGCTTAGCAGCGTTGGATTGGCTAATGTTTTCGGCGCCTACGATATTTCCTCTCACGACCTATCGCAAAATCGAACATGAAAAATTCATCCGCATTTATTTTTTGTGTGGAACACATAAAAAAAAAAATCAAATTTCAGTCTTATTTTACATGTTTTTTCATTATTAGGAATGTCTAAATTCAGTTAAACTAGCAATTCCGTATTATATTTATAAATCTTTATAACATTATACAAAAATTAGATTTTTCTTAACAACTGAAATTTTGCCGGGAATGGGGCTTTAAAAAATTATAATATATCTATTTTTTTTAAACTGTAAGACGTAGGCCTACGCTTTAAGCCACTGAACTCAATTTGTCACCTCTTAATCCAATGCTCAGAACATTTCTTTTGTAGATGCCGGCTACGGCCTGACAAGTATAAATACCGACTTAGTTGCTTCTATGCTCGTAAGATTAACTCTGAACTGTAGAACAAATAGATATCTTAATTCATTCGTACCACTTTCCATTAGAATACTTAATCAAAATATCAAATAAGTTTTATGGCCTAATTATAATTTATTTTCTCCACTACTAGCTATTTATTATTTATACTGACTACTGCATTTTGTTTTGCGATGTGATGTACCAACTGATTTTCCAAAAGGACACAAGTCTTGAATCTTGAATCTTGTTTCATTTATATGGCGCACTTGCAACAGTCATGCCATTCAAATAAATTAAATAAGAACAAGAGGTCTTAGTGGTATGACATTCGTCTTGTTAGCAAGAATTGCAAGTTTGACGGATGGATTGATAAATAAGTATTGTTGTTGCAGATTGCATACGAGTGCCGGAGGTTAAAGAATTTTCACTCTTTACGCACATGCCTGGCGGCGTTACAGATTATACCAATTTATCGGCTGCATGAAACATGGAGAAACCTAGAAGATCATTATTTAGATAAGTTGAGGTAAGTTTTATTCACCAAAGATGGAGTCATCACAATTTAGTATAGTGGTATACAAAAAATAAACATTCCAAAAAGTCGTATGCTTGTTTATTGAGCAGTGTCAAAAGTAATGTATATTAAAATCGTTCCTTTCACACAGTTTCAAAAAATTACTGGAGTTCATTTAGGTACATTTACCAAGGCTTTTCTGTAAGTTAGTTTATGTTTAAATGTACAAATAAACAGAGAAATAATTAAAAAAAAGTCAAAATTTATTCGAGCGGATGCTAGCGTGTGTTTTGATGTTATACCCAATAGACAATACTAGCTTTGGTGACTAATTCGGTCTATTCACACAAGACTAAAGGTTATACCCATTTACATTGCTATGGTAAAGTAATGAGAGGAAATCGCCATGGTAACTGGCGAAAATTGAGGATCCCACTATCTATTTTCTCTACCCGACAGAGTGATAAAGCTAACAGCATTCATATATGTACGTTAATATAATGTGGCACTCTCTAAAGCCAGGCACTCACTGCGTCCGACGGTTTTATGTAGGATGCAACGCGACGACGCGCACGCAACAAATCGTTTTTAATGACGATCCGTTCAGACGGCCGCCGACAATCAGCAGACGGCGTCGCGTCGTCTAGCGCTCATAAGGAGCGCAGTTAGATTCGTCGTGCTACAGGCGTACGACCGTCGTACGACGCAATGAGTGCCTGGCTTAAGTGTAATTCGGAGACAGATTGAAGATGAGAACAAGCAGATAACATTTTTTTTGGTCTTTAATACTTCAGAAGCTCTTTGCATCACAATACACGAATTATTGTGCTGCTGTTGTGTCAAAGACTGTGTACTGAAGTTTCTATTACAAAGCAAATTGAAATAAACATTTATTATGTATCTCCGCCTAGAATTAGAATCCAAGCGGTTCCCTTATCATGGCTACAGCCTAAAATTGAGCGTAGGATCTCGTTTTGTAGGCTTACGGCGAAGACCTAATTACCAATAATAAACGATATGTAATATGCAACATTTAACTCACACTGGAACACTACTCCATGGTATATAAGCATGGAGAAATTTAAACTGGGTTCCAGTCCCTTATTTCGTCTTGATCAGTGAAAACTATAAAATATAAACAATTTTTGGCACCAATGGAGTTCCATATTATTTATTTGCATGGCGTTCCAAATTCAGCAACATAAAAAAGCAACGCTAGTGGCGCTTTTCGAAAGTATTTAAAACTACAAGAAGTTAGACTTCAATTCAATTCAACTCCAATAACATTTATTCAATTATTTCATCATCATCGTCCTATAATGTGCATAAACCTCAAATGAGTATATTCGCACAGAAATTGAGAAAATTAACGAATGTGAATATCAGATATCTGTCCTTGAATGTGTCGATGGATGGTGGATCAACAACATGTTGAGGTAGGCTATTCCACAGACAGATGGTGTCTGGGAAGAACGAGCACTTCCTTAATGTTGTGCGGGTTTTTGGTATAATGAATCTCTTGTGACCTCTGGTGAGGTAGAGGATGGAATGAGCTGATCACGAAGGATGCAGATAATTTCATTGGTGATCCGGTACAATATGGTGACTTTTGCAGTCTCCCTAATACGATGTTGGAGAGAGTCCCAGCCGAGCTGCATAAGCATGTTTGTGACGCTGGATAATCTGCTATAATCGTTCATTACAAAGCTTGCTGCTTTACGTTGGATGAACTCCAGTTTTTTCATGTTGACCTGTGTGTGTGGGTCCCAGACAGTGCTTGCGTACTCCATTTTTGGACGTACAAACGAGTTAAAGCACTGGGTCTTCACCATGTGTGGACACTTTGCCATGTTCCTTCGGAGGAATCCCAATGATCTTGCTGCTTTGAGAGTGATATTGTCGATGTGGCTTGACCAAGACATAGTGTTCGAGTTCATTAATCCAAGGTACTTTGCTGAAGACACTGTTTGGATCGGATGATTGTGGATAATAAGGTAGGTATGCTTTACGGGTTACGGCGCTTAGTGACATGGAGTAATTGGCATTTCTCAGGGTTAAATGACATTAACCACTGCTTTTCCCATCTTTGAAGTGAATCGAGATCTTGTTAAGGCGAATCATTGGTATCATTGATTACGCGGTAAATTGCGGTGTCATCAGCGAATATTCTTACTTTAGTACCTTCTGATATGTATTGCGGTAGGTCGTTAATAAAAGCCAAAAACAGGAGAGGACCAAGGACGGTACCTTGGAGGACACCAGACAATACTGGAGATTGCTCAGAGAATTCCCCTTCCAGGACAACCTTCAGGACTCTATCTGTGAGGAAGTTATCAATCCAAATGAGGAGGCTCCCACGAATACCATAATGACGTAATTTGTGGAGTAGGCGCTGATGAGGCAATTTGTCGAAGGCCTTAGAGAGGTCGAAGAGAATAAGATCGGTTGAAGTCCTTTGTCCAGATTTTGTATGATTTCGTCAACTGTTGTAATCAGTTGGGACTCACAGGAATGTTTCTTACGAAAACCGTGTTGGAAGTCCAATAGTATGTGATGCAAATCAAAATGTTGCATTACTGACGAGAATACAGCATGCTGGAGGAGCTTGCAGCAGATGGATGTTAGTGATATTGGACGATAGTTCGATGCAATAGATCTGTCGCCCTTTTTAAACACAGGGTAAATGTATGAAGCCTGGAAAAGGATAGTAAGCATTGGACCAAGACTATCAGCTAATTCTTTCAGGAGGCGTGAGAGAATTTTATCCGGTTCTGTAGCTTTGTTTGGGTTAATTTTCTTGAGTAGCTTTGTTACCTCATTACATGTAACGTAGATGTGATCAATATCAGGATAATCATTGCGATTCGTATTAACAATGTTTGATGTGTCTTCATAGTTAGTTAGTTCTTTATTTATTTGTTTCACACTCTCAGATTAAAACAGAGACCAGCCAATTCTGGCTTCTTATGAGTGAAATACAGGACATTTTTAAAACCCAAGGAAAACACACGATTGAAAATGTTTTAAAAACAGGATATACAAACATTTCTTAAAATATGATTTACTTAAACACAATAGACTGCCGGTCAGGAGAGGATTTGGTAGGCAAATTTAGCTACCTAATAACAGTGGTTGCCATCACTCATATCTGCTAAATGTTGGGACCAACAAAAAGCTTTACATGGATACTGGTCTTCATCTAGTTTTGAAAGACGGCACCACAATCTAGCTATAGACTGCATCTGATGCACTATTGGGGAATCTCATCCCATGTCACCAAGCATAGTGTCGTTTGGAGTATATTTCCCGACCACAAGGAAAAAACGCCAAGCACGGTAAAAAACAGAGTTTATCGAAGAGTACTCGTGTATACCCCAAATATATATGAATATGAATTAAAGTTGATACCTCCCAGAGCCTTATCTTTACTAATAACAGCACCAAGTGCACGAGAAGCAGACACAACCAGCATGCCGGCAGATACATAAGGATCTAAGAATTCATCAAACCAAATGCCGAGGTAGTTACAACCATTAACAATATCAATGTCGAAACTACAGCAATTAAACTGTTTATTAGTTTTTTGACGAGTTTTTCTGCGAAAATGGACAATTTGTGTCTCAGATTCATTCAGGCTAATGTGCCACCTTTTAGACCAATTTGAAACAACATCTAACATATTTTGAAGAGAGCTTTCATTTTCGGCAAGTACCACAATGTCATCAGCATACATTAATATGTCAATTTTTGTGTCAAGTAAGGGAATGCCACAGTTTAATTGTTTCAAATCGTTTACTATGCAATTTATGAAAATATTAAAAATAATGGGTGATAACAAGCGTCATTATATAAACTTTTAATACAATTGTAGAAATTCCCTTGAATACCAATACTTGTTTATACCAAAGGCAATCTCGATTTACACGATCGAATGCTTTCTTTGCATCAATAAAGCAAGCGAAAGTATCTTTTTTACAAAGATTTCTATTCTGTATAACCGATGAGAGGGTATATAAGTGATCAAGGCAACCACGATTTTTTCTAAAACCATTTTGCTCTTCATGAATTATATTGTTTTCTTCAAGCCAATCAGAAAGCCTTTTACGAATCACATCACAATAAATTTTACGTACTGCTGATAAAAGTGTAATACCTCTGTAGCTTATCGATACTCTTGGATCTTTATTTCTAGATTTTTGAATTGGGTTAATTAGACGGAGCTTCCATCTAGATGGGCAGAGACTAGCAAAATAATTTTGAAACATGGCATGAAGTAAATTTGCTGATGTATCGTTTTTAATTTGATTTATTTTTATCGTAATAATGTCATCAATACCAGCAGCCTTATCTAATTTAGCTCGGTTGATTGCATCAATTACTTCAGTATACTCAATAGGGTTATTAAGGCAAGCAGTAATATGATCGTTGTCGGAGGAATTAACTTCAAGACGTTGTAGATGGGTTTTAACATGTAATAAAAACGCATCGTCGAAATCATCAGAATGAGTATTAAACAGTGACTTAATCAGTAAATTCATTGCACCATTTTTTTTAAATACTCGATCTACTCGATCTATCTATCATTATTTTGTTTACAGTTGTTTACACCAATTTTACCAATCTCTTTCCAGAACATACTCTGATCCCCTCTTAACAGATTATCAATCTTATTAATTTTACTATATTGAAATTGACGTTTAGCTTTCCTCACAGCTTTATCAAATAATTTATGGGCAGATTTATAGCTTACAAAGAGAATACTACGCATATGAGAAATTTTGCATTTTAACCATTACTTTTGTTTACACACACACATCATCCCATAATAATTGTAAAGTTGATTCCGCCAGGGTTTTGTGGATGTCTCATGTTATTATTGCCATGTTGGCTTTTTTTTCTTTCTAAATGTACTTTTAACAGCGGACTTAATGAAGGATTCAAATTTAGCATACACCCTGACAACTTCAGCCTGAGTTCGAATGCTTGAATTTAGTTCATTTGATCAATTCGTT